CTTAGAACACATAACAGACTTTTCAGTACTACTACTTTGGGCATTAATTTAACACGTTAAGTACTGGTTCGTTTAACTTGCCCATGTAAATAGAAGATTCCAAAGGCTTCCAAATGAAACCAAATTAATTTAGATCAAGACTTACATTTTACCAAGTCTTTCCCTTCCTTTCTACTAGAAACAAGGTTTTCTATACACTAGTCATCCACCTACAGTAGGCCTGCATTTTTTCCTGAAGACTATTTTATAGAAAAGTCATGAGAAATTATATGATGCCCATTAGAAAATAGCTACCGTAACACCTAGAGGATATTCTAGGAGGAATGGGAAAGTTAATTTGGGAGACTGCTTTTGATTAGACAATCAGCAAAAAGGTCTTAGAATTCTATTTATTTGGGTTAATTTTTGAGCTTCACATTTCATGATATCATGTGTTAATAACACAAAACCCCAGAGTTTGATATCCTCTCCCACTCTTGCATAGTGATGAACAGATGCATTACTGATGCAGTAGCTAAATTTTAAGCCACATGAAACAGAGCAAAACCAGCAGGCTCTCACTAGAAACTGATCCCAACATAAAAAGAAATGTTCATACATATACACACAAAAGTGTGAGTAAAACACTGAATTTGTCAGAAGAAGTTGTAGATATAAAATGAGGGAAAAGCCCACACTTCAGAGAGAAGCTGACTGTGCTAGAGGATAACTCAGCAGTGCACAACCTTCACGCTGCCCACAGTGTTTATTCTGGATGCACAGGACTCTCGCTCTCACGTCATCTGCCAAGATAGCTAGAGAAGCAGAAGCCATTTTTTTCTTTATCCAAAGACTAGGAAATGAAGGCAAAAGGAAAGCCTCCATATGGTCTATTAAGGCTCCACAAGCCTTTAGCTTGGCTACTGTCGCCGCAAGCGGTAATTCAGCATCCCTAATGACTGATCCCACACTAGCACTGCTGGCAAAGACCCCAGTTATTTGATTCCTCCAAAACTCATCTCCGGAGAGACTGAAGAGACGAACTCACGCACCGCTAGGAGGCAGAGGAAACGGAGAAGCATCCTTGCCATTGAGGCGGTTTTAGCTGCTCTCTTCCCACCGCGCCAACGGTTCTTTTCCCCCTCACCAACGGTTTCTCCCCCCGCCCCAACGCCTCCCCGCCACCTGCGCACGCACCTCCCCGTCCGCCTCGCCGGCGCAGCCGCTTCCGCCGCCTCTCAGCCAATCACCACGGAGGAGGGCGCACAAAGGCCGCGCCCGCCTCCCCACCCGGCCAGTT